CAAAGTGGCTCATGAAGCCTGTAATTCTAACACAGGGGGCTAAGGTGGGAGGACCACTTGAGGTCAGGAATTTGGGACCAGCCTGAGCAACAGCGAGACCCCATGGATACTAAAAATAGAAAAAATTAGTCAGATATTGTGATATGTACCTATAGTCTCAGCTACCAGGAGGCCAGAAGAGGATTGCTTGAGCCCAGGAGTTTGAGGTTGTGCTGAGCCTTTTTTTTTTCTTTTTTTACCCATTCTAGGGAGTGCATAGTGATATGTTATTACAGTTTAATTCAGATATCTCTGATGGTGGATGATGCTTCTTAGTGCCTTGTTATGTTTATGGGCCATTTGATTATCTTTTATGAAGTCTATTCAAAGTCTTTTGTCCATTTGTATTGGGTTAGTTTTCTTTTATTGAGTGGTAAGAGTTCTGTATGTATTCTAGATTCGAGTCCTTTGTCAAGTATATGCCCTCTAGTCTGGTATCTGAGCATCCTCTTTTGTGGTTAGTGCTTTTTGTGTCTTGTTAGGAAGTCTTTGTCCTCCCTCAGGCTGGAAGCCATCCTCAGGTCCCTCCAGAGCTTCGCACTTGTGCCCCAGGTGTAGCCTTGTTCGCACTTGTGCCTAGGGTATAAATCAGGAGCAATACTCATTTTTTCCAATGTGGATATTTAGTTTCTCCACCAATTTGATTGATTTTTTTCATCTTTACTCTGAAGCTTATTAAAAATCTCACATAAAAGGGCGGTGCCTGTGGCTCAAAGGAGTAGTGCGCCGACCCCATATGCTAGAGGTGGCAGGTTCAAACCCATCCCAGCCAAAAAAAAAAAACTGAAAAAAAAAATCGCACATAAAAATACGAAATTTTCTGTATGACCACAGCTTATGACATTTTCTTCATTAAGTTTTATAAACCTTATTTTATTCTTTTTTTTTTTTAATTTTAGAAACAACATCTTTCTCTGTGCCCAGGCTAGAGTACATTAGCATAATCACAGCTCACTGCAATCTCTGCCTCCTGGGCTCAAGTGGTCCTCCTGTCTTGGACTCCCAAGTACCTGAGACCATGGGTGCATGCCACCACACCTAGCTAATTTTTTTATTTTTTATTTTTGTAGAGACAGGGTCTCATTGTGTTGCCAAGGCTGGTCTGGAACTCCTGGCCTCAAATGGTCCTCCTGCCTTGGCTTTTAAAGTACTGGGTTTACAGGTGTGAAGCATACTTTTTTTAAAGTTACTGGGTTTACAGGTGTGAAGCATACCTTTTCATAACACTGTCTGTGCAGTAGTCTGATGTTAAATATGAATGTCTTGGGGGCAGCGCCTGAGGCTCAGTGAGTAGGGCGCCAGCCCCATATACCAAGGGTGGCAGGTTCAAACCTGGCCCTGGCCAAACTGCAACAAAAAAATAGCTGGGCATTGTGGCAGGCACCTGCAGTCCCAGCTACTTGGGAGGCTGAGGCAAGAGAATCACCCAAGCCCAGGAGCTGGAGGTTGCTGTGAGCTGTGTGACACTGCCACTGCACTCTACCGAGAGCGATAAAGTGACTCTGTCTCAAAAAAAAAAAAATGTATGTCTCTGTGTTATAAATACAGGGACTTAGGAACAGAGATGTAGCATGGGATCAGAAAGCATTCAAAAACCTTTAGATTCACTCCTTTGATTTAAATATTACAAATGATGTAATGCTAGATAAATCTATTGAAATCCAAGTAATCATAGAAGGAAATCATTGTGGTCACGCGCTGAGAAACAACTTCTCCCAGCTGCCGTTTTCCCAGGACCCAGTGTAAACTGTTTTCCTTCCTTGGTAGAAGGAAAGTGGACATTTCCAAACTTAGCATAAGTGAGTAGAAAGTGAAAGTTAATTCTCTGGGATTGTTTCAAATGATGCACTTGATCTTAGTGTTTTTTGTTTTTTGTTTTTTGTTTTTTTTGCAGTTTTTGGCTGGGGCTGGGTTTGAACCTACCACCTCCGATATATGGGGCCAGCGCCCTACTCCTTGAGCCAGAGGCACCACCTGACTCAGTATATTTTTAAATATATATTATTTGATACATTGCTTTCATTCTTTCCTCACGTTCATAAAGCAAAAGCAGGGGAAGAGTTTGTTAAATTAGGGCCTTTGGTCATTGAGAACACAGTGTCCTATCCTAGCTCACTGTCTAGAGAGGAAAGAAGAGGATCTTGCCTCTCCCAACTCTCCTGCTACATGCACCTGAGCCCACCTGGCCTTGTCTCCCCAGGATCAGCATTGAGGCTCGCAAGTCTCCCAAGCTGCCCCGGGCTACTCCAGAGATTTCCCGGTCTCCTAGGCTGCCTATGCGCAAGCCCTCCATTGGCTCACCTAGCCTAACACGGAGAGAGTTTCCTTTTGAAGACATCGCTCAGGTAGGAGCACAAAGTTGGCACGCCACTCTCCCCTCCTCAGTGGGGGTATAGTGGTGGCTGAACACATGGAGCCTACTTCCTTCTCAGTTGGGATGCCCTGTCCCCTACCCCCACTGCACGAAGGCCCTGTGGGCTCTTCCACACACCCACAAGCTGTCTCTGCTGCTGCAGGAATCATCCTCAAGTGGAGAGGTGTCCACACATCACCTGTGCCCTCTCAAGCCAGTTCTGGTTCTGCAGTGACTCCCCAGTGCCTGTGGGTAAGAACCCCTGGCCACACGTTCCCATAACCTGGCCCTGTCTGCCTTTCCCTCTTGGTGCCCACACCTACCTCCAGGTGCTCCAGCTATACCCACCTCTGCCCTCTCCCTGGGTCACCCTCTCCATCTGCTTGCCGTTGTTTCTGCCCTGGTGCTTCTAGACCCACCTCCAGTGCCCTCTCCCTAGAGAAGGCTTCCTGCCCTGGCCCAGCCATTATACACCAGCAGGTCTGGCACACAGATCCCTTCTCATACTCCTCAAGGGCTTCTCTGCACACAGATCATTACCAGTTTCCAGTATAGCTCCCTAGGGGCTGTATTTTCCCGTCTTTATTTTTGCCCTTGATGTATATGTACACACACGTGCACACGGCATTTTCTCTCTCGCTCTCTCTTCC